TTATGGTTTGAAGTGTTTTTTTTTTTTTTTTTCGTTCTACTCGTCTTACCAGACTAATCTAATAAAAACCAAATCAACCACACACCTCCCAACCACACCACTAACTTGGTACCATAGACGCCTCCTCGCCCCTCAGTCCCGCTAACTTACATGCCCCTTACCTTAACATAATCACACAAAACCCATCAACCCTTGAGCTTAACAGCAAATTAATACGTCTATCTTACAGTGGAGAGTGTGGGACAGGAGTAGTATGATTGGATGGGATGGGATTAGATGAGATGAGATGAGATGAGATGGGACAGAAACGGATCTGGGGATTGTTGCGCTGAGCTGCGGGGGAGCTTGTAGGGTAGCGTGCGTGGGTGAGGGATACTTAATATCTAATAGAGTGAGGTAGTGATTTAGTTTTAGGTTAGGGGTAGGAAGGGGGATAGGATAGGGATTAGATGTGTAGTGGACGGTACGCGGAGGAGAAAGAGGGGGGGTGGTGGCGAGTGATGGTGGGAGATGTAGTTTGGTAGACGGGTAAGGGGTTGAAGGATCTTTGCCCACGTTTGCCAAATACCAACATTCTAACCGGAAAAGAAAGTCGTTGGATTATCGCGCACATCTCTCGCCGTCTCCGTCGACAAACGGACATGAGAAAAAGGCCATTATGCCGAGCGGATACATCCTCCGCCAGCTCAATACACGGTCTGAAATCCCGCTCTCTGCTTCTCGCCCATGCCCATTGGCTTCGTTACTTTGTAGCCTTAATATCCTCCTTCCCCCCTCCCATTCCGATCTTCTAAAAACAGCAGTCCAGGCAATCGAGGCAGCACTCGCACGTCTCCCCACAAAGCCAACAACAGCACAGCGTCGCCAAACTACGCAGAACCAAACCATCAGCAAATGCACTATTCGCAGCAAGCAGGGGATGAGATGCTTACCAAGCTGCTAGACAGCCTCTATCTTTCTTTTGTTCAGGCGGTGGTGGTTGTTGTGGGGGGCCGGGGGCGTAGTACATCTACCCGCAAAATTCATCATGAGTATCGAATGCAGATGCACGGAACTAGTAATTGTGCGATCTGTACGTTTGGTGGATTATGGTGGACGATACGTACCTGTTGCTGAGGAGGTGGGTAGTTTGCGTACTGCCCGTTTGGCGGCGGGGGACCGTAGTACCCTTGCTGTTGCTGTTGCTGTGGGTACGACATCTTGCTACACAGCTCAAACAGGAATCAATGCTTCAAACACGAATGCCAAAAAAAAAAAAATCGTCGCGGTATGGTATGATGTATGTGCAGGAAAAAGTGGCTGGTGCAGTGACACCCAACGTCGCGGCGTCTCACTCCTAAAAACCGCAGAACGGCACCCCGGCCATCTTCGCACCTGCAAATAGTCAAGCATGTGCAAGAAACTACGCAGGGGAGGGCATTGGTCATGCCACACACTAGGGTCTGACGGCTAGAGTGCCATCGGGTAGGAAAGGGCCCGCCACATGCAGTGGCACGCGAACTGTTGCGCGCCATACAGGACCAGCCACTTGAATACCAAGCCACTATCTTGTAACGTTCCTGCGGAAACGCGTAAGACGGGTCTTGGGGATGCTATCAGGTGCTTCATGTGTGCTCCTGGGCCCTTCTGGTTCGTATGTGGTGGCTGCGTGGGTTATTGGATTGCATTCGTTGTATCTATCTGCAGGTAGGACTGCAAAGGTGGTCCGTTGTGATGGCTTGGCTTGTTAAATCGCATTGGACTGAACTAGGTTCAAGGGAAGAGGTGAGGTGCGAACAAGATGCCGTGATCCCGGATGCCAAGACGTTGATGGTGGGGCGGGCTGGTAGGGCAGGATTAAGCGATCTCGTTAGGGGCCTTCGGGACTTGGATTGCAGGATGCGTGGTCTAGCCCGATAGTGGATGTCGAGGGTATTGTTTGTGGCTAGAGGCTATACGTATGTTTTAGAACTGTGTGTGAAAGAGTCTAAAGAGAGTGAATATCAATTGAGGCCTCATGAAGCACGGCGCTAGAATCTTTAATGTTCTGAGTACCTATTGCGTGGTGGTGCGCTTAACGAGAGTTAGGACCGAAAAATGAACTAGCCTTGTGATAACGGGTCGACGTCTTCCATTAATAGGTAGACACCAATTATTAAAAGAAAATTCTTTGCAAAATGGGTGTATTAAAGAAGAACTATACTCGATCGTGCCATTCGGAACGGAAAGGACGGCGTAAGGCGCAAGGTTGTAGAGTCCGTAGAATGGATAACTCCGAGAACAGTTATTTCTCACATATTCATTCCCACAAGTCCTCATGCCTGGACTTCCACAGCATCGACAGCCCTCGGCGTAAAACCCCTTTCAGCCCTCCTCTTTTGAACCCACTCCCCAAACGGCTGCCATATCGCCTCTTTCTCGGCAGGCTTCAAACTTGCCGCCAATCCGCTCGTCGAAGTCGTCACAAAAACCTTCGATCCCTTCCATGTATTCCCATTATCATCCAATATGTCTTCCTCGCTCTTGCCCATATTGTGCTTCTCATCCTGCCACCCATACTTGAACTCTGATGGCTTAGGATTTCTACCGTATCGGTACCTCCATATAGCTTCCCATATCCCCTTGCCCACTATGCATACAGCCTCCGGCTTATATTTCAGAAATTTGGCGTCCAAATTTGCAGTCCCTGCAGCCATCTCCTCCTTCGATAGCTCCGCGGCATCCTTCGAAGGTCTGTCCACGATATTTGTATTGCCCATACAGTATAGTGCAGGCAGTGATCTATCTTCCTCCGGCTTCAATCGGCGGTCGGTGAGCCCTGAAGTGTATAAGAGCTTCCAAAAGTGGTTCGATGGGTGAGCGTAGGCATGGCCGGCTGTTGCTGTCTGGACACCTGGGTTGGTGCCGACGAAAACACATATGAGGCTCGGCTCGAGGATATCGACTAACGGCGAGAGATGTGCGTATTTTGAGGGGTCAGCATATCTGCTTGGTTTCCTCTTCTTCGCGGGACGAACCGACGAGTTCGTAGTAACCGTGACGGTTGTTCGAGTACGTTTTACGGCACGCTGCGATGTTGCAGATGCAGGACTAGTATTTGAAGAGGAGACGGTCGTGCCGGTATATCGGAATCCGGTTAACTTGTCTATGAATGGTGATGTTGAAGGTGGCTGGGTCGATTCGGCTTGGTCTAAGCTATCCCCTGGAACGAGCGAGTTTTCTTTAGATATTGCATCCTCGATCGCAGCTTTCGCAGAACGCGTACGGGGCATTTTAGAATGCGCTGTTCAGGAATTAGAAAGAGGTTAAGGAGGCAGCATTTATATTGTCAAATTTTTTTAATGCGAATTATGCGAAATACGAAATGAACTTGTGCCGCCTCAACGCCACTGTAACAGATCCCACGTGATGGCGCGCGTTCCGCGCGATTCTGCTACGTCATCTCTAGGCACATCTCAACCTCATTACTCGTATTCAATTTATTTCCATTTGATCCTTTTCTTCCTATTATATTAAGTGTCTAGGTGACAATTATATCTATATAACTTGTTGTACATTTCCCTGGTTCCAGTCCTCATTGCACTGAATCACCCCGGGTAAGACGTTTACCATAGCAGACTGGTGTATGGTCGAATCCCACATGTGTATTGCATTGATTGTTTTCTTCTTTGTTACTATGATATCAGATTTTCTGCTCTCGGCATTTATATGTCCTAGCTCATCAACGGGTGTATTTATCGCCTATATGCCGAAGAAGTACGACCTTTATTGACTTTAGTTTAGGATTAATGCCCATCTTCTTAAGAGGCATGTTGGTGTATTAATAGGCCTTTTCTGACATCTTATTCTAGGATGGCCATAGTAAGCGACTCTCCGTTCATCAATATCGCAGAGAGTAAGTAAATCGCGCTAATTATGCTTTGAGGTATCGTTCTGGGGATGGGGTCCCAAGGTTTATGAGAATAATATCAGTGTACGCCCTCCTTTTACTGCAAAATGGCAGGGCTTTGAGGATTCAAGTTAGCCACTCGCCCTTGAGCGAGGCCGTGCAACTTGGCTATTAACATGCCTCTAGGCTCCGTGATAGGAATCATTTCGAGATCCTACACGATCAAGTGAATTGCTGAAGTATGAATTCATCTGGCAGCATTGTACGTTATCTTGAGAGACCATCCTTGGTCCAACTAGCATTCTCCTCTTGCTTCCGTAATTGTGCGTAGCCTCAATCAGAAAGAGCAATGTACTGGACGCCTTTAGAGTATCCTTAGCTCAGTGAAGTATGAATATTCTAGTTCCTTGGCGGCGGATTCTCATCCAACACCACCTACACGCTTTCACTATCAAGAGAAAGATGGGCATTGAAGATCACAAATACTCTTGCTCTCGCTAGCTTATTATCCGCTTTCATCGATACGTATTCTTGTCTGTATCTGAGAAACAGGAGGTACTCGAGGGTCACCTCCGATCGGGTTCACTTCCCGCAGGATAGTTCCATTCAAGGACAGCAACAAAACACATGAACATTCCAGAGAGAGACACAATAGGCGTCCATATTATATTGACGATACCTAATGCCTAACTGAACTAAGAACGTCAGTAATGAACTCCACAATCCAGACATCTACTCTTAGTTCTATGTCCGTTTCATCGCGTTTCATTTTACATCTTATCCCAAGTTCGCCCTACTAATATCCGCTTCAATGCAATAATACTTCACAAATGCAACAATATTCCTTCATGTTCCTCAAATCATGTTATTCTTTTAGATTATCAAACGAAGTTTCTCAATCCTCCACAAGCTACCACGCATCCAACATCTCCTCGTCCCCAAGACACTCATCATATCCTACACACCATCCATCCCACCTTAATCCGCAAAAAAAAAAAAAAAACCCGCATCCCTCTTCGACACTTGGCCTAGCGGCTCCATCACACCATACCACCACATTCCTGCCCTCCCCTTCCCCCCAAATAAAAAATTTGTCTCTCATACACCCAAACAACTTTCCAGCCCAACAACATAGTCAGTACAGGGCTCGAACCTATGACCTTCGCGTCACCAACATAACGCACTAACCAACTGAGCTAACCGACCTACATCAACTGCTTCGTTCTACAATACTTGTTCTATTCTGTTCTATTTCTGTTCTATTTCTGTTCTATTTATATTTTAATTTGGAAGAGGGTTTGCAGGAGTTGAAAGAGGAAGAGTAGAAGCGGAGTGGCAAGAGCTGGACTAGGTAAAAGGGTTGGAATGCGGTGGAGATATGGATGGTAGCATTACTTACTGGTTTTGGTTGTGGGGGAGGTTGGGATGGGGTGGGTAGGTATGAAGAATTTACTGCCTTTTACGAGCCTGGCGCATGCGTAATATAGTCGAGATTTACTAGCCAGCCTAACCAGGTAGACTCGTTCGAAATATTAATCGAATACCATGGAAGTTAAGAAAAAAAATTTTTTTTTTTTTTATTCTCCTTTGGTATGGTATATATGCCGTCATCGATCGCATATTCCTAGCATTATTAAAAAAAAAAAAAAAAGGAAGAAACGATATGTTGTATGTACGGGACATCCGGAATGAGCACTACCATCACACATTCGAAAATAACTTATCCTATTTTACACAATCTCCCTCCTTTATATCCTAAAAATCCTAAATATTCTTCGTCCTGAAATGCCGATACTTCCACCTACCGAAATTTCCTGTGCGATGTTTCTATCCATTCACCAATTCGTGGAAACTGAAATCCAAACGACCAAAATGAATATGTTTATTACATATAGATATAAGACAAACACAAATGTATCATAAAACCAAGCTTAAGAAGAGTATGTTGTTGTTTCAACGAGAAATAGCTGGCCGTAATTAGAACCGGGTATGAAGACACAGAACAAGCCAGGTGTCAATGAAGACGTCGCTCGTACTCCTTACAAACAGAGCCTCTAATAACAACCCCATCAACCCAAGCCCCTAGCTCCTCTTCCGCTCAACTCTGCCTATAGCAAGCTCAGAGACGCGGGTCGTACGTTCTCCCTTCTACGCCTTCAAACCCGCATCCTGCCGTCTCGACCGCACTCAAATCAAATCATCTTCGTCCTGCGCAAACTGATCCTCCATCTCGTCCTCCGCTAACATAACCTTCTCAATAAGCTTTATCGTCTGGCCCAGCGGTAATCCCACCACATTATCATAACTCCCTTCAATCCTCTCGATCAAGATAACACCCGCGGTCTGAATACCGTATCCCCCCGCCTTATCCGCGCCATCCCTCGTCTTGACGTATGCTAGAATCAGGTCATCTGTCACTGCACCAATATCAGCATCCTCTTCCAAGCAAACTGTACACAGTTTTTTATGTATTTTGGGGGTGGGAAGGGGGTGTGGAAGAAAACATACCATTCGGATCAAAGCGCACCCTCGTCTCCTCTACATGGGTATGAAGCACATAACCCGGATCCATCGCGCTCTCCAACGGCCTCATCGCCGCTACCGCCGTATACACCCTATGCACACCCTCATCCCGCAACATGCTCAGCATCCGAATGTGCTCGACCTCGCTGCGTGGCTTCTCTAGTATCGTCCCGCCGTGGCTGACCACGATAGTGTCGGCGGCGAGGATGAGCGCCGGCTCCCCCTTCTCCGTGTTGTCGATCTCGGCTTTGTAGACAGAGAGCACCTTTTCGGTGGCTGTTTGGAGCACGTATTCGAAGGGGGAGAGCGTCTTGGAGAGGTTCTCGGCGAAGCTGGAGGGGAGGATTTCGAGGTTTGTTAGGCCGATCTATGGGCTTGTTGGTATTTGACGAGCATTGCTTGTTGGGGCATGTTTGTACCTGTGCGAGAAGCTGTCTTCGGCGCGGCGACGCGGAGGCAAGGATCACTCTTTTCCCTCTAAGCGAGACGAGGGCCGGGAGTTCTAGAGGGAAAGGCGGCCTGTGGAGCGGGGGGCCTCGCGGCGAGGGGATGGGCGCTGTCCGATTTGAAGATGGCGGGTGCGGTTGCGAGTCTTCGTATGCGGGCGGGGGATCCAGCGGGGCGTAGTTCGCCATTGTCGCTGCAATTGGAAATGATATATGGAGGCGAGTAGGGCGACTTCCGGCAGGTATGCTAGTATGCTCGGAAACACAGTGCGCGGATGGAGGACGCAGAGCCTTTATACGCGTGGCGGTGCCGCAATGGCGATTCCACAGTGAAAAGCTCCCGGGCTGATGATGAGCGGAAACTCAGGTACGTACCCAGACGAGGAGCGGCCCAAGCTCTCGCCGCCACCTACCTCAGGCGTGCCTGCGCTATACCCCTTCCAGCGCTCTGAACCTCCGACTTTATCGACTCGGCAATCCGCTTCTTCGACACGAATCCTCGCTCTATATTTAGCCATTCAACCTTTCTTTCACTTCCTAGCTCGTCACTCCTCCGGTCTCACTAATCAGTTACACTATCGATTTCCTACGATCGACAATGCAATTGCACACCACTGTCTCAGAAGTTCCATGGCAGAAACCTGTGCCTCGCTCGTATTGTGCCGTAGACGGGCCAGCAGATATTAACTGGAGCCATGGGGTCACGCGAATGCGGTATCCATTTCACTATTGAATTTCCCTCTCCAGCTTCGCGCCCGGTGACGGATCGGCTTCCTGGGCCATGCTATGACACGCCCGCTCTAATATACTGCCGAGTTGGCAAAACTGCGATCTGGATCGTGAGGTAGTGTATTGATGGTATCCGGCGCTGGCCAGAGAAGAGGACTACTGCGTGTAGATCCCCACTATCTCTTTATCGCGCCTCTAATTTAGCAGCCCAGTCCAGCCTACAATTTAAATAGATATTCGGGAGGAGAAAGGGTACCATATGTACCGAGCTCACAACCACAGCAATGCTTAGATGAGAATGTGATCCCGTAGAGCCGCCTTGAATTGCATATCAAAAATTAACTCCTCGTTTCATAACAGCTGGTATCACGACAACTCCCCTTTCCAACCCGAAAAAGCGAAACAAACGACTGTTCCGCGCCGCAAATGCTCCAATAGTTCCAACATACCTCAATTCCTCAAGCTCGGCTTACCCAAGCCCAATCGTAATAAGGATAAGCGAAAGATTCTAGAAATACGGAACAGGCTCCTCTGGCGATGAATTATGTTCCTCAATTGCGCTTAGAGGCCGCTTGCCTGCTGCGCCTTGTGCACTCGCACTTCCTCTCCTACCCCTCGGGCTCGGCGACAATGGTTCGGCTCTATAGCCTCCACCACCTCTTGGACTTGGTAATAGAGGCTCTACTCTCAAACTCCCGCTCCTCGGAATAGGAGGAAGTTGCGGGTATCCCGAACTTCCGGGAGGCGATGTAATGGGCAACATAGGTATTCTGTCTTCACTCCCGCTCTTAGATCTAGGCCTCGGTCGATATGCAATATCGCCTTCTTCATCACCGTCTTGCCATCTCTTGGTACTAACGCCGAGGCTGTGTTCGAAAGACGGTGATCTACCAGCAGAGCCTATTGAGCTGACTGAACTCATTCCGCGTCGATGACTTCGAAAACTACCTCCGCCTTCAGCTGTCCCGAAACTTCCATCGTCCGTATCTCCACTTAATGCCATGCGGCTTCGTGTTGAGGACATGCCGCTACTTTCAAACCTTCCTGTCGCGTAGACCGTGCCATTCCAGACAAGCTCGTCCCCATCGTGCGCTACGCGCTCATGTCCAATTTCTTTTACAATACTGTCGGCTTCTTGTTCGGGGCCGGCAATCATTAGTATCGGAGCTCCGAATGCTTTGCCAGTTTCGAGCGGAGAGAGAGTAACAAAGCGATCCAGCTGCCAGCACCCCCAAAGTAGCGACAAAGCCGCCGCAGTTCCCAGGATCATCACCCCGACCGTAATCGCGAGGAGTTTGAAGTCTGTAAAGTGCCTAAGCTCGGTGCCCCGGAACACAGCTGAGAAACTTTGCTTGTATTGCTCTTCTCGGCCCGCCTCTCCAAGTGCTGCACGGAACGTATAGTCGAATATGGCCGCGAGAATATCGTCCGTCGGAGAATTGAAACGCAGCGGACAATTATCTATAACTGATTGAGGCCAGGGAGAGTCCTCGAAGTTAAAAGAAGTGTCCTGGTACAGCCGAGGCCACTGACTGTAGTAGGAAAGGTAGCCGATACTATTATTGTTCCTGTCTAGTGAAGCATCGCCGATGAATATCAATCCTAAGCCTTCCGCGATTCCTTTGAGGGGCCCCATCGGTGCGTCAGGGTCGTCTGTTCGCGCGTCTGCTGCAGAGGTATAATTGGAGACAATAGAGAGGTTCCGAACGAGACTCAAGTAGTCCAAGGTTAGGCTCCTATTGCTAATTTCAATGGGGTACCAGACAGTTGCCGGAATGATGCCGCAAGTATCTGTTGTTAAAGTTCCCGTGCAGTTCTCACTGATATCGGAGAGATACTGTGAATTTAGTATAAGCATAGGGAGCTCCCTAGAGTAGTCCATGGCCAGACTCAGGCTGAATATAGTTGCATTTTCAGAGTTTGGATCCAGCATATCGATTGTTTCGTTTACCAGAGCGCACCCGAAGTTTATTCCAGCAGCTTGAACCAACCCTTCACAAGTTCCGTTTCCAGCACAGAAGTACCCATCCTCTTCAGACGTTGCTATGCCGTTTGCAAGTATTGTCCCTTGCACTTTATTGATGCCGCGGGATGAGAGGCGGTCCCCCCTGCCAAAGTATCCATCAGGAATTTCCCTCGCAAGGTGGATATCCATGGGCACCCGTGAAGTAATTGACAGGTTCCTGGGTTTTGTGGATCGCTGCATTAAAGGACCAACGGCCAAATCTACAATGAGCACAACCAGAGCTGCTAGAGCGACTCTGCGGGCCTCTCGACCAACTCTGAACGCGGGTACAAAGTTGGTCGGTATGGCTCCGGCATATATGTTTTGGAGTCTGTTCAATGTCGTGCCGTTTGCGATGCTTCTCCACCAAGTGACAACCACTCCAAATGCGAAAAGGCCGCTGAGTACGAGAGCATAGAGCCCGGTCATAATTGAGAGTAAGACAGAGGGCTGGACTCTCCATGATTTGACTCGGTCCTTGTGCGATTTGAGCAGAATGATGA